GTTTGTGGTCGATCACACAGAAGCATATTCCCCTACTCTAGCAGTGCTGGACGCCTCCAGCCTCATGTCTACAATGCAGTGCTGGACGCCTCCAGCCTCATGTCTACAATGCAGTGCTGGACGCCTCCAGCCTCATGTCTACAATGCAGTGCTGGACGCCTCCAGCCTCATGTCTACAATGCAGTGATGGACGTCTCCAGCCTCGTGTCTACAATGCAGTGATGGAGGTCTCCAGCCTTGTGTCTACACCAGTATATCTGATGACTTTGAGCTTATCAGCTGTGCTTCCATGCAGCTTCAGCAAGACATAGGTGGATCAGTGTACATTTATCCAGCTGCTGGAAATGCTTGAGCTGTTATTGACAGCTCATGTCTGATCTCCTCACTGCATGTCACTGCCCCTTCTCCTCAATGCAGCTCACTGGCTCACCTTCTCACTGCAGACCAGTGCCTCTTCTCTGCAGGCCACTGCCATTTTTTCGCACTGCAAGTCACTCCCTCTTCTCCTCACTGCTGGTCACTGCCTCTTCTTCTTATTGCAGGTCACCTCTTCTTCTGAGTGCACTTGTTTCATCCCCTATCCTCACATTTTCACACCTTCACTCACCACATTTCTTTCCATCTTCACACGTCAGAACTTCAAAGAGACCACTACATCAGTGAGAAAACCTACATTTCTCTGTCTATTTCTTCTTTCAGCAAAAGCTAATGGAACATTGCAGCCTGGTGGTGTGTGCAAACCACTACTTCATCAAGGTCAAATGGTTTGTACTCTTTTCTCTGTTTCTGCAGTGGATGACTTTATCACAATCTTAGATTCAAATTATGAAGTTCTGAAGAAATAAAATGATATTGCATAATGTGTCTCTGGGTTAACTCTCCATAGGCACAGTTACTACGAATGCTCTTGAGTAAAGAAACAAACACACACACTTCAGTTTAAAGGGATCTGAAGGTCAGTAGTATGGTGATTGGGGAACAGTTATTGCTTAACATACGGGCTAGTGAAATGCATAGAGAAGAAAAGTCATCCATGCCTCATCGTGCCTCAGCTCTGAAGTGGACAGAGAATCATGCAAATGCTGGAAGCTTTACTGTAAAGAGGCCCGTTCTGTTCCCGGTGACGTCTGTGCAACGAGGCTGAGGTTTCCCACAATCCTTTTAGAAATGTTAAACTCTGGCTTCCTCTGCTTCTGTGTCATGGTACAGTCACTCACCTTAATCGATTCATCTTCACCGTGCGTCGCGTGGGCAGAGTATGAGTGGGAGGCCACTGTCCATCTTACACACGCAGACGTGATTCTGATGGATCCAGCCGCTGAGCAGCGTCACCGTCAGGCGGCTCCGGGGACACGACTCGTTCCCGAGCCTCCTGAATATGTGCTAACTGGGAAGCGGTAACATCTGTGTGGTATCCTGGCAACATATCTCACCAGCATCCTCTCCCAGCACAGGAATACCATTCAGCCCACAGCAGAGGTGATCTCGCTCCTCTGGAGAGCCAGCTGACTGTAATAGGAACTGTTGGGGCTTTTCTTACGTCACTAAATGCTTCTGCTCAGGTACTTTGATGGTGGGTTAATGAGAGCATCTTGATGGCTTTAAACCCACCGGCTTTGTGATAAAAAGATATGATAAAATTTCTGAGAGGAAAAAGTAACTGGTGCTGGCATGGAAAATTGGAGGAGATGCTGATGCATCAGTCGTCATCTGAAATGAAACTCATTTGACCCAGAGTCAACCCTAATATAGAAATGAACATGTGAATGATTTCATAAGAGCTCACTAATAAAATGATCTGGACAGGTCCCCCCTATCTGTAATCTTGTGCATGAATGGGTCGCACCTTCCGTGATTTCACACATGGATGGGTTGTGCCTTCTGTGATCTCACACATGGATGGGTCGTACCTTCTGTGATGTCACACACGGATGGGTCGTGCCTTCTGTGATCTCACACATGGATGGGTTGTGCCTTCTGTGATCTTGTACACTGTTGGGTCCCACCTTCCGGAAACTCACACACAGATGGATCTCACTTTCTGTGATCTCGCACCTGGATGGGTCCTTCCTCCTGTAATCTCACACACAGATGAGTCCCGCCTTCCGTGATGCCACACATGGATGGGTCCCACTTTCCATAAACTCACACAACGACGAGTGTTGCCTTATGTGATCTCGCACCTGGACGAGTCCCTCCTTCTTTGAATTCAGACATGGACGGGTCCCGTCTTTGGTAAATACACATGGACGAATCTCACCTTCTCTGATCTCACACCTGAACGGGTCCCTCCTTCTGTAAACTGACACAGACAGGTCTCGCCTTTCTGTGATCTCGAACCTGGATGGGTCCTGCCTTCCATGATCTCACACATGGACGGGCCCCCATCTTCCGTGATCTTACACATGGATGGATCCCACCTTCCGTAAAGTCACACATGGATGGATCCCACCTTCCGTAAAGTCACACATGGACAGGTCCTGCCTTTCATAAACTCACACATGGATGAGTCCCTCCTTCTGTGATTTCATACATGGACGGTTCTCATCTCCCATGATCTTACACATGGATGAGTCCATCCATCATGATTTCACACATGTACAGTATGGTTCCCACCTTCCGTGATCTCAGACATGAACAGGTTGGGACTGGTCTTACCTTCCATGATCTCATACACAGATGGGTCCCGCTTTCCGTAAACTCATACTCATACGAGTCCTGTCTTCCATAATCTCACACACGGATGGGTCCATCCTCTGTGATTTCACACATGGACGGTTCCCGCCTTCTGTGATTTCACACATGGACGGTTCCTGCCTTCTGTGATCTCAGACATGTACAGGTCTCGCCTTCCATAAACCCACACATGGACGGGTCTCAGCTTCTGTGATCTCGCACCTGGACGGGTCCCTCTTGTAAATTCACATATGGATGGGTCCCACCTTCAGTGATGTCACGCAAGGATGGGTCCCACATTCTGTAAACTCAAACCTTCTGTGATCACAGACAGGTCTCCCCATTTGTGACCTCACACATGGATGGGTCCCGCCTTCCATGATCTCTCACACAGATAGATCCTTCTGTAATCTCACATATGGACATGTTTTGTTCTGTAAATAACTTTTTAAACATTATTTTTCCTTTTGAAGCACCTGTGCTTGCCTCTGGGTTCAGCTGTGAAATGTCCTGCCAATAACTCGAAAGTCCTGCTGAACATCAGATGGAAATATTTACGCAGGACAGCTGGGCCTCCCCATGCCTGCAGAGAAATAAAGGGCCGCTTCACTTTTGCTTGCATGATGCAGATTATGGCTTTGCCTCTTATGTTTGAGGTTGAGACAGTATTCATGGTCAATGTCACAATATCATTCAAAGGCGGAAGGAGTAAAAGCTGTTACATAGAAAGCAGAAATTCCTGAAAATTTCTCTAAAAATGAAAGAAAATCAGAGAGAAAAAGAGACCCATTCAGCATTCTGATTGTGTGCCAGACCAAGGAAAGACACAGCTTGCGCTGTATTACCACAGGAGGGAGCCATACCACAAGAAGGAGCCATTGAACAGACCTATGTGGAGGTCCATGTATAACAGTGGCTGCCTTGAGGAGCATTAAATTGGTATCTACTGCACACATTAGTGCATGTAAGTGAACGGATGGTGCCATGTGCCTCTGAAGGACGGACAGATGTGCACTGTGAGATTCCCACAGAAGCTAAAAATGGAAGGTGATGCGAATGATTTCCACACTGCAGCCACATCATCACAGTGATCGGGAAACCCGTACATGTGTTTACATACACAGGGGGAGCCGGGAAAATTACGCAACGTGTGCATTCAACACCAAGCTAAACTAGCACTATGACAAACCATACAGTATCTACACCCCATTCTATATCAGGAAGGATGTAAGTAACATAAACACTCATAAACACACAAAATTTCCATGGTAGTAACATCAGTCATTCTTCTAAAGTAATACACATGTCATGTGGCATAAGTGTGTGTTGCAATAATGACCACAAATTGGACACACACGGATGTACATGTACAGACACTACACAAACACACTTGTAGGCTGGAACCCATGCCGAGTGAATGTTCTCCTACTGAGACCTTAGACTTCAAGAAACTGCTTCATTACTCCCAGCTCAGTCAGTATCCTTCATCTGAGAGACAGACGCTCGGTCGTGGTCAGTAAACCTCCACCAGGTGAATGTGTGTCTCTGATGAACTCCAGGATCCCGCTAGTATCCTTGGCTGATCTGGCAAAAGCGTTGTGCTATATTTTTGTAATTTATACCATATACAAACACACACACGCGCGCGCACACACACGCGCGCACACACACTTCTGCTTTCTTTCTCGTCCATGTCACGAGCGTCTGTCACAGTGAATCCCAGGAATCCGCTCGCCTTTGAAGTTTCTTTGAAATGCGTCGTTCTAGTGCTTAATGGAAATTCTGTGAGTAGCAGAAATGAATCACATGTGAGCCTAGACACACGCACATATGACACACGCAATGAGGAAAAGTACACCTTTACAAAAATACCAAGACAATAGCAGAACATATCGGCCAAAATGAACATGAACACTTAGAAAACCCTGTGATATGTGCAATACAAGTTTGCTTGAAATCACTACAGTCCACCTGTAGAACTCCTGATGAGCATTATGTTGATTCTTATATTAGAAAAATGTTCACGTTAATTTGTCTCTAAGCATAAATTTATAATGCAAATTGGGTACAGTTCTTGTATTGTATGGGTTTTGAAGTGTTGGATCAGCAGAGATACAGACAGTGATCCAATACATGGACTGAGTATGGTGTGATACAGAGGGGAAAAAAAAACAAATGTCTGGAGTTAATGGATTAAAAAAAAAAAACTTGAAACGAAGTGTTTGAAATTAGTACTGGATACGCATTCGCCGATACGTCGGGTGACAAAAAAGGGAAGAAGGAGGAGGAGGGAGGAGGGAAGGAGATATAATTACAGTGAGAGAGAGAGAGAGAGAGAGAGAGCGCAGTTACCCTGCCCACTTCTACACAGCCATTCAACTCCGGCAGACAGAATCTCTGTGAGTCTCCACAGCACTGCACGTCCACAGGCACCAGGCGGGCCGGCCACTCATCACACCAACTTCGTGGGGACAGCAGCCCAGCGCTGCTCCTCTCCAGAGCCAGCAGACCTCCTGCCCTCTCGCTCCGTGCGTCTCCTCTCAGCCAGGGATTGTACTTTTTCCTCTGAAGTTACGCGCTCGTTCTGCCAAACTTTTTTCAAACTCACACACACGCGCGCACACGCACTTGCACGCACGTGAGCTGGTGTCCGGCTCTCTCCGGTGTGTGAACACAGACACGCCGCAGCCTCTTTGTCCTTCTGCCCGCGGGGGGGTGGGGGGGGAGCGTGTGTGTCTCTGAGCTCTTAAGCGCTGTTTCACCGCCTGCCGGCTGCGTCCGCCGCAGGATGTCTTCACTGGTGCTGCTCACGGGATTGTTGCTCCTGCTCTGTGGGATCCTGGCCGGGGGGGGCTCTCCCACCCCCACTGGGGTCGCTGCAGGGCCGGCACTGGCCAAGGGGACTGATCAGCTGTCGCCCCTGGCCACCGACTGCCCGTCCTGCGCGCTGGCACGGATGGCAAGGGAGGGGGCAACGTCGGGTCAGCAGGACATGGTGGAGGCGGTGAAGCGGCACATCCTCAGCATGTTGCACCTGAGCGCGCGGCCCAACATCACGCAGCCGGTGCCCCGCGCCGCCCTGCTCAATGCCATCAAGAAGCTGCACGTGGGCCGCGTCAGCGACGACGGCAGCGTGCAGATCGAGGACGAGGGCCAGAGCCGTGCCGAGATGGACGAGCTGGCTGAGCTCACCTCCGAGATCATCACCTTCGCCGAGGCAGGTGAGCTCTGCAGATGTGTGTCCACGTCCTCGTTTGTGTGTGTGCAGGGAGCCCCGACGCTGCCCTGCCGGTGCGGTTATAACCCTCTCAGGCAGGTTTGTAAACCTACTTCTTTGAAGGGGCGCCCCCTGCTGGGTGGGGAGGGGTGCTGCGCGCTGCTTAATTAAGAGCACCTGCAGATATCAGGGGCTTAAGGAGACCTGTTGACTTAAAAAGAGAAAAGCAGCCCCCCCCCGCCCCCTCCCCTCCCACAGCACGGCCCCCCCGTCCGCGCCAACCGCCTCCGGTCTG